TTGGCTCTTTTTGGTTTCTTCTTGGCCATTGTCCACTGTCTTTCTAGACACTTATACCTGGGCCTTATTAGAGAGTATAGCCAGGATTAGCAGAGATTAGCAGAGGCCTCGAAGCTCCTTTCTTCCTTGAGTACTTCTTTTTCTCTAGCTCAGAGGTTCTCAACCTTCCTAAGGCTGCAACCCTTTAATCCAGTCCTTCATGTTGTGGCGGTCTACCAGCCGTCATTCCATTCTGGGTTTAAGCCTCTGCCTGCAGTCACTCGGGTACAACCAGGCACTGACTCCATGCAGAGAAAGCGTGAGCAGAAGAGGCATTGGAGGAGATTCTAGTTCTTACGCCCGAGTGCCAGCAGCTCCGGTGATTCTCTTAGGCCCATGGAACTATGGGATAGACCTTCTCACTGAGCCTCACACCACCTTACTCTGCATCAGAGCCATGGTACAGCTGAGATGGTCCACAGAATTTGACGGGCACTGGCTGAATGTCATGGCTCACGTCTGTCATCTCAGCACTTAGGAGGTGGAGGCAGGAGGATTTCCATGAATTCCAGGCTAGCCATAAAATTATTTTCATTGCTACTTCATAACTCTAATTTTGCTACTGTTATGAATCCTGATGTAAATATCTGATATGCGGCCCCAGAAGGAAAAAAGATCCATTCAACCCCCAGGGGGGTTGCAACCCACAAGTTGAGAAACAGCTCTAGGGCCATACAAGGGCCACCATGGGCAGGGACCATAGATCTCCCTCGGCAGTGGCTGGCTGCTGCTTTGCCTTTTAGGGGTATCTGTGTTAAATCACAGAGCAAGGATGGAGCTCTATTGTGTTGTCTCATGGGGCTGAGTGACACTGACAAGTCACAGGTGCCATCCTGGTATCTTGTGTGTAGCAGGAAGCTCGGCGCAGTACCACTTGGTCCCTGCCCACCCACGTCTCCACTATGGGAGAGTTTGGTGCTCAGTTGTCGAGGGGGACAGTCAGTGGGTAGAAGATGTCAGCCAGTGACTTCATCACACAAAGTGGGGTCCTTCCTAAATAGAACCCAGATCTTCTATACTTCCTTAGCCCATGGTATCACAACTTACATCTTACTGCCTGTGTAAACCCTTTCCCGACACCCTCTCCCTCTTTGGACATCCCTCTGGAAATGTGGACTCTGCTCTGGAAGTTGAGTGGCTTGCTCAAGAAAGCCAAACGGGAAGAGTGGCTCCCACTTTCTTCCCAGGGGCCTTGAAGACTCAGCAGAGTCAGATGAACAGCTCTTGGTGCCAGTCAGACACTAGTTTGCTTGTTGACACAAGATCTCGCTCTAGGTCAGGCTGGCCTGGAATTCATGGAAATCCTCCTGCCTCCACCTCCTAAGTGCTGAGATGACAGACATGAGCCACGACATTCAGCCAGTGCCCGTCAAATTCTGTGGACCATCTCAGCTGTACTATGGCTCTGACGAAGAGCAAAGTGGTGTGAGGTTCAGCGAGAGGGTCCATCCCATAGTTCCATGTGCCTAAGAGAAATCGGAGCTGCTGGCACTGGAATCTCCTCCAGTGCCTCTTCTGTTCACTCTTTCTCTGTATGGAGTCAGTGCCCGGTTGTACCCGAGTGACTGCAGGCAGAGGCTTAAACCCAGAATGGAATGACGGGCTGGTTCCAGTGTCTGCCTGCTAATCACCTGCAAGAGAAACAAGCATTCAGCTTCCTGTTATAGTTCTTCAGCCCCTCCTAACATTATGTTCTTCCCCATGTCTCTGAGGCAGAGAAAGTCTTTCATTAGCCCCGGGATCCATGATCCTGCTGGCTAGTCCCTGGGATCTGCCAGTGTCCGCTGAGATCCCCAGTGCTGGGACTATAAACGCACAAACACCATCCTAGCTTTTTGTTTGTTTGGTTGGTTGGTTGGTTGATTTTTTCCTAATGTTGTTGTTGTTGATGTTGTTGGTGGTGGTGGTATAGTTCTGACTATCCCAGAACTTGCTCTGTAGACCAGGCTGGCCTTGAACTCACAGAGATCGGCCTGTCTCTGCCTCTTAAGTGCTGGAGTTAAAAGTCCTTGTGCTTGTCCAACAAGCCGTCACTAACTAACGTGTCTCGCTGGCTTATGTGCTTTTTAAGGGAGTAAGCCCAGGTTCAAGATCTTGCCCACTGGAAATGAATGAGTGTTACTAGTCTTTCTAAGGTTTCTTGCTCTCCGCTTATGAGAGGTGATATTGATCCTCTATTAACGATACTCAGGGATTTAAAGATTTGTTTTATTGGGGGAGGTATGTGATCCACCGTTGCACACACGCATGGGTCAGAGGACAGCTTAGACGAATCAGTTCTCTCCTTCTGCTATCTAGGCCCTGGGGATCAAACTTAGATCAGGAGGCTCGGTGGCAAGCTCACACCAAGCCTTCTCTCCAGCCCATGTGCACAGGTTGGTTTTTCTTGTTGGTGGTGGTAGTGTTTGTTTTGTTCACATAGAAAGTAAATGCAAGGAAAACGATGGAGCAGAAATATTCACTTGTAAATAAATGCAAGTGGTCCTTTTTTACTTATTAAAGTTTACCTACGGGGTTGTTTTTGTTATAGCATTTGCATGCATGTTAGTATAAACGGTCCTCATGTGGGGCAGATACCATTCATAGGAGACCCAGGCTGGAGTCTCCAAACATGAATTTCAGCCATTTGGGAAGAACATAGTGTTGTCTTTCCTGGTCACTTTAGAATAACAAGTTGGATATGTTCCCCATTTTGAATTCAGGGCCCTCCCTCCATCACCCGCTGAAGAGGGATATCAGGTGTACTCCTGGGTTTTTCAGAACTCTGCCTGAGCTGCTGCTGCTACCCAAAAGTTAGGTCCTACCTTCAGGATGTCAGCATCCTGCCCCCGGGGAAGGGAAGAGACAGAAAGAGTTCCTTTGGCTGTCACTAGGGCACTGTACACTTTGTCACAAGCTGACCCTGATGGTCTAGGTGAAAGAGGAATCAGTAGTCATCACCTTCCCTCCGGGACACTGTGCCTGCAATGATTTGGTTGACTCTGTGTGAAGGTTTGATTTTGGTTTCTGTTCTTTTTGCAGTATTGAGAGCAGAACTCGGGGCCTGCTTGTATGTTAGCCAAACACTACCACTGAGCTACGTCCCCAGCCCTGGCTCTATTTTTTACTTTTATTTATTTTTAAATTATTTTTTCAGAGCTGAGGACCAAACCCAGAGCCTTGTGGTTGCTAGGCAAGTGCTCTACCACTGAGCTAAAGCCCCAACCCCTAGTTTTTAATTTTTTAAAAAAGGATTTTATTTTTTATGTATATATGAGTTCACTGTCACTGTCTTCAGACACACCAGAAGAGGGCATCAGATCCCATTACAGATGATTGGATGGTTGTGAGCCACCATGTGGTTGCTGGGAATTGAACTCAGGACCTCTGGAAGAACAGCCAGTGCTCTTAACTGCAGAGCTGTCTTTTCAGCCCCTCTAATTTTTTTTAAAATTATTATTTACTTTGTTTTGTTATCTCATATGGAACAGAGTCTCACACTATAAACCAGGCTGGCCTCAGACCCGTGGGCAATCAGTCTTCTTACCTCGGTTCCCCGAGTACTGGAATCACAGGAGAGCACTACTATACTCAGTTTGTGGGTTTGTTGTTGTTGTTTATTTGTTTTTAGCATTTTACTGATTCTTTGTGAGTTTCACATCACGTACCCAGTCCCACTCATCTCCCTGTCCCCTTGTATCTGCTTTTTGCTACCTCCCCCCTAAAATAACACACACACACACACACACACACACACACACACACACACCATAGAAAACATCTCATCATGGAAGCTGTAGTATGTCACCGTGTGTCCCACAGTATACCCCTCTGTCCACACATCTTCACTTGCAAATGAGTCATTGCTCTGCTTCCAGGCTTCTGTGACACCATCAATATTGGATCCTCACCGGGACTCCTCCCTGTTTTTCTGTTGTTGCCTGTGTCATGGAGATCCTGTTGCTTTCCTGGAGAAGCAGGACTGGCCATCTCATGCATCCCGATCCTTGGCAGATGATATAGATTTAGGGACAATTCAGAGCCCTGGATCTGGACCTGGGTGGTAGCTGAGTTGATCAGCCTGTCAGCTCTTCCTCATCTGCACCACCAGGGCGAGCTCTCCAGCACTGCTCGGGCTAGGCCACCCAATGCTGACAGCAGCAGGAGGCAGGGTCAGCTCTCCTGCTCCCATCCCCTCAGGGCCAGCTCGCCAGCACCCATGCCTCCAGAGCCCGGCTCCACTGTGCTGCCCAGTCAAATTGCAAGGCCCACTCTCCCACATGCTGCAGCCTGTGAGGAGCCGGGCCAGCTCTCCCGCTCTCACATCTTTGGGGCTGGCTCATCCATGCCTTTGCCATCAAAGCAGGGTACAGGGCCTGCTCTCCCGAGTGCTTCTGCCAGTGAGAGATGGGGCCAGTTCTCTGGAGCACTGCATCTAGTTACGAGTAGGGTCAGTTACGTGTAGTTCCTGGACATCCACATGGTCCCTCCTGGTGGTGCAGACCAGAACATGATCTCCATGTTCTCTAGTGGTAATATGAACTACAGACATTGACAGAGACCCCTGCTATGCAGGACTCAGACATGGCCCTCACAGGCAGCTTGTGCTGGGACATGACCATGAACTCAGGTGGTGGGGCTGGCCACTCATACCAGGCTACTACGCTCGACCCCCGAGTCTCTGGTTCCATCTCTCTTCATAATGCCCAAGCTGCTGCTTTTCCCTTTCTCTCCATCTGACCAGCACACACATGCACATTGTGGTGGTTCCTGCTACAGGCTGGCCGCATGGCTGGTGGGTCCCTGGGTGACATCCTCCAACAGCGCTGCATGGTGTAGTAGCAAGGGGGTGTCTGTGGCCTGCCCATGCCAGGCGCTGGAGGGCAGGTCTGTGAGTGGCATGGTGATCCACTGGTCCCTGTCTGTCTTCCTCCTCCCAAGCTGCACTGCCTGGAATGGATTGGCTTTGATTTTTTTTTTTTTTTTGAGTCCTAAGCATAAGACGGCTTTGGCCACCAAGCCAAAAGCTAGGATAAACATAGGATTCCCATCTGCTCTGTCCGTGACTGATACAAGAACCACACCACCAACAAGGTGGTTCTTTGCCCATTGCCAAGGTTGTGTGTGTGTGTGTGTGTGTGTGTGTGCGTGTGTGTGTGTGTGTAGCGGGAGGTCATGTGTTTTTATTTTAAACTTTTACCATGGCAATATTGAGACATTTACAAAAGAAAAATAGGATACTATCGCAAATTTCATGTACCTGTGACCCTGCTTCAACCACGTTGTGTCTAGCCCTTGAACCCCCAACCCTTGCTGTAGAGGTCTCTTATGTTTCCTCCTGTAAATAATTTGCTGTGTATACCCTTTAAAAAGAATAAGGCCTCGGAAAGCGTAAGCTAACATACATGCCATGAGTACATTTGTCCAAACCCGTAGAACACATACCACCCAGAGTGCGGGATCTGTCAGCCATGGACCATGTGTCATCATAGCATGTTAGCTGTGGCAAATGTGTCATTCCGACAGTGGACATTGGTAGGTGGGCACCATGTGGGCATGGGTCAGGGGTGGCTGGCGGGAGAGACTGGGAAGTCTGTGTCCTCAGTTTTGTTGTAACCCTGAAACAACTCAAGGATTTGTTCTTAGAAATCGAAAAGCTCACAATACTGTCAGGAAACTTAAAACTGAGCAACACTTTCACGATGTATGATTAGAATGCCCGTCTCCCCCGCTAGGCTGGGAGTGTCTCCAGCATTTTCTGTGTTGCTCTTGGTTATATCTCTGGACCTAGCAGAGTGTCTGAGAACCAGTAAGTCCACAGGAGTCCCAGGCCAGGGAGGTGGATGAATGAATGAATGAATGAATGAATGAATGAATGAATGAGCAGATGAGGAGCTGAGGACCCACGCTGCTCTCCATGACTGCTGGCTTGTCATTACTTGGCCCGAGCGCTGCTCCCATGTCCCCAGAACCTCCCATTCTAAGATGAGCAGGACCGGTCCCCTCTTCTGCCCACCTGCATCTTAAACTCTCAGCGAGTGGCTAATCCTCTCCCATGGCTGCAGCCAGCTCCCCCTGCGAGGCTAATTCCACCTTCCCATTTAATCATCATACTTAGCACACTCAATGAGGGCTTTTCATCTCCGAGTCCCACGCAGGCATTAGCTGATTACTGTAATCTGTTTGACTCCCAAGGCATCCACCAGGAAGGCGGGGAAAAGGACCCGGAGCCTCCTTTCCCTTTCGGAAGCTCAGTTTCTTCTCCTGTAAACTTGGGGTGCAATGGCTAACGGGTATACGGGGTGGTGGAGTTTAAAGTCAGACGGAATCTGAAAAGGGCCAGGCATTGTTCCCTAGCAACCAATAAGCCCACAGCTGGGTTTGAATCCAGCTTCCTCCACTTCGGTTTTTCTGAGCCTTGATTTTCTAGAAAATGAAGACAGTTCTCACTTCTGAAGTTGCTGGAAGGACAGAGCGACATGCCACATGCTCGTGATGCGTGTACTCCACACAGGGCTCCAGAGAAGCCCGGTGGACGTTCTTAGGATGTAAATGAAGGTGCAAGAGGCGTTTGGCAAGCAGAAGTTCCTCCTTTTCACCTTTGTTCTCCCCAAGTGTTGGAAAGGAGGAGAGACACCCATTGTGCCCTCCCTATAGCCAGAGCAGCTAGGCCTGCCTTCCTGTCCCCAGTGCACCAGTAAGGACAGGCATTAGGCACAAGACAATGTTCAGTCTGGATGGGGAGGCACTGATTTCTGTTTATTTTGCTTTTTAAGTAGGATCTCATGTAGCCCAGGCTGGCTTCAAACTCACTATGTAGCCAAGGCTATCCTTGATCTTGTGAACCTTCTGCCTTCACTCCGCCCCCACAGATTCCAGGTGTGTGACAGTATTTCAGGTTTATAGGGTGCTGAGGATAGACCCTGGGGCTTCGTATGTGCTAGGCAAGTGCTGCATCCCCAGCCCACCACCGATGGAGAACTTTCAGGAGAGGAGCTTTCTCTTAAGCCAAGAGACCATGGGTTCTTTCACAAATGATGAAACTGAAACTCATGCAGAGAAACACAACACCTATAAAGACTGAAGCCGGGGCTGTCCCCATGCTGGTTTGCATGTCTCTGGCAGGGAGGAGGTGGGTCCCTGCCTCAGCTGACCCTCTAATGCTCTAGGGAGGCTGCAGTTGCTGCTTCCAATCATTGGGCCTGGGGTGAGCTGAGTGCAGGACACCTGTTTCTAGTTCCCCAGAATTTCAACTGGGGGTGGTTACCACCAGCTGCTGTGGCTGCAAACTGCAAATCTGAGGAGATCTGTACTTACTATGTCCACAGGGCATCAGTGTGAGGTAAAAGGGCACTTTAGGAGAGGAAGGAGCCCTCCCCTAACCACTGCCTGGGCCTTACTGGGAGTACTGTCCTACCAACCCAGAGCTCCTGGCTAGTATGGAGTCTAGTCCACAGCCAGAGTATGGGCTCTAAGGGGCTGTCTGGAACATTCTTCCAGGGCATTTCCAGGAGCCAAGCTCTTCTTTGGTTGATGGAAGAGAGTAAGCAAATGGGCCATCAAACCATTTTCCAGATGAGCAACTGAGGCACACAGAGGTTAATCAACTTTAATTGTCATGGTTGCAGCTTAAAGCCAGACTTACCTGTTCTCTCGGCTACCCAGTGCAACAGGAGGAGCAGTTGAGGCCCAGAGAAGGGCAGCAACTTGCCCAGCATCACACAGTTATCTAGTGGCTGGGTAAAGAGTGAGCCTAAGAGTCCAGACAGCCAGTCCTCAAGTGAGCAACCGCAGTTCCTAAGCCTTAGGTGACTTTCAGTTCGTATTTAGAGACAGGGCTAGGGACAGACCCAGTGTGTCTGCAATCAGGGGACCTGGTGATTTGGGAAGGGAGTGAGGGACAGGTGGTGCTGGGGACACCAGAAGGGTGTGGTTTTGGTTCAGGTTTCTGTGGGATTTCAAGCTGCCTCTCCACCCAGCCTGGAGAGGGAGTGCTGTACTGTGATCCGCCTCCAGGTGGCGCCCTGCACTGCAGATCTGGACTCCCCCGGGGATCGGGAGCTTTTGGGCCCTAGGTAACCCTCATCAGGAGGCAGTATCTTCTAAGTTTTCCAGATGCCCCTGGAGAGCAGCTCCCCCCCACCCCCAGTCTCTTCCAGAGCTACTTTACCTGGCTTTGGCAGCAAAGGGCTGGTGGGCTCTGGGGAGATTCTCTAGGAAGGATTTGGGGCCACCAGTTACTTCTTGGTCCTTGCCCATGGCCAGCTTATACAATTAAGTTTTTTTTTTTTAACTCCCAGACTTGGGGATTGAGCTCAGGGCCTACCAGTAAGCTGCAACCTCAACCCTTTTTGTTGTTTCGAGGTGAGTCTTGTCAAGTTGCCTAGGGTTACTTGATGGTCTTCTTGCCCTAGGCTCTTGAGTGGCTGAGATTACAAGTCTGTACCACCAGGCCCTTGGTCCACAGCTCTTTCCGTGTCTGTAGAGTGCAGGTGTTTTATTTCTAGCACATTAGGAGTGTTGACCATAGATCTGATCCATGGCAGGGACCCCCAGCCAGGGGCGGTCGGGAGGATTCCCACGGACAGTGGCTTGCTATTATGTCATGTCTGCCTGGATGCTGGCTCTTCCTGTCTTTGTCCCCTCATAAGGTGGTCCATGTCTCCTCAATTTACCCATCATGTTCAGCTTCTCCTGCTCACCCTCACAGACCTCATATGGCTCACAGAAGACAGAGAAGAGCTGTTTGGGGATGATTCTGAGCCTCATGACCTAGCCTCTAACTCCTACCAACCACTTCCCAGTACCTGGCTCGTGCTCTGTAGTACCCGAGATGTGCCCTCCTGTGATGCTGGGAGCTGATTTTGAGACATGTTAGAGCAGCTCTGGCCAGGTAAGTGGGAGGCAGAAGAGGTGTGTGCACCCAACATTCTAAGTAAAGCAGTTGGGAGCCTGTGAATGCCCTCCCTCTGGCTTCTGTGTGGCCATAGGTTTATGGCTCCAAAATGAAGACACCCTGGGAACTGTCCCATGACTACTGGACCCCCTGGGAGTAAAGAACAACCATCTGGGGCTACAGAGGCCTCCACTTCATTTATCTTACCTACATCCCAGTTAATTGCCACTGGGCCTCAATGATCTTATCAGTGAAATGGGGACAATACTATAAGTTGCAGCGTCTTAGAGCTTGAAGGGCCCAAGTGAAATTGTTGATGCAATCCTCTTAACCTTCTTTGAGAAGATACTGACAGAATGAGATGATTTGAGACCCCCTGAGCAGGGAAGACCCCCACAAACTTTCCGCTCCATGCTTCTTGACGATGCGGAGGCTTGGATGAGTGTGTAGCTTGTTTAGGGTCCTTCAGACAGAGTGTGACAGAGTCAGACTGAATTCTGTTCTCTGAGACACATCTAGCGCTCCGTGGGTGCACCTGACTCTCTGTAACTGCTTCCTGTCCTTTGCAAGCTGGCTAAAATGGCAGTGGCTCTTCTCTCTGGCGGTGCAATGCAGTATGGCCCAGAGGAGGCCCAGATGTCTGTTGGAGGGTATACTTTTTTTTTTTGTTTGTTTTATTTTAGCTGCATTGGGGGTTCAAACAGCAGACCTTTCCATGCTCCATGATAAAGATTTATCATTGAGCTAACTCCAGCTCTCTTTTAAATTTTACTTTGAGATGGGACCTTGATAAGATACCAAGGCTAGCCTTGAACTCCCAAGCTGACTTTTGGACTGTGATCCTCCTGCCTCGGCTTCTCAAATAGCTGGGATTACAGGTGTATGCTACTCCACTCAGCCTGCCCTTCTGTTATAAAGGGCATTAGGTTTTTCTGTGTGTGGTTAGTGTGAGATTCAGAGTCCAACGAGAGCAGGCCTTGCCCACTGTCCGTCAGTCCCCACGGGCTCTGCCTTCTCCCTGCCCTGCTGTTCACACCCCTGCCAGCTCCACAGCCGTGCCCTGCATAGCCACACAGGACCTGGCAGCCTGATGTTTTGTCATGGCTGCCCTCCACTGGAACACAAGTAGATGTAACAAGGGAGCACTTCTCTGTGCGACAATGGAGACAAAGCCACAAAACCAAGGCAAGTTCTAGAATGACATGTATGGTACGACTGTATTTAT